GAGGGAAAAATCAGATGATTTTCCCCAAAATGTCACTGCGTTTAACAAATTTTTCTATCAGGGAATCTAAAAGAAAAATCCAGTAGCTTGTCAGTGACAATTTGTTTGAAAAAATTTTTGAAGGAAAGAAATATAGATATATTGAAAAAATATCGAATTTGTACTTATCAGTTCTCTAAAGTTGCCGTAAAAAAAATTTTACTATTTTGAAAAATTTTTAAACCGTATCATCCTGAAGTTAGGTAAACTATCAATACAAATATCTATTTTTTTTTATTTATAAATCCAACATGTTTAAGAACGTTTATGCATATTTATCTCAAAAACGGTTGGTTTATCGAAAAGAATTAAAGATCAAACAAAGCCTCTAACTAAATTGAACGATCTACACAATTTGATCACTGAAAGATGCCAGAGGCGTACTACGAAGAAGTTTGGAGGAGATAAAAAGCCTCTACCTCCAAAAACGTATCACCCTGTAGATTTTGAAAATCTTCAAAATGCTTGAAATGATGATCTTCTAGGAAGTATTGACTACACCAAATTTCAAAATTATATCTTGAAAAGTAAGCGAGATAGTTCAATTGATAAAAAAAATAATTAAACTTTGACCCCCTGTAGCTCCGCTACTGAACGAGATCGGACTAATGTTTGTATGAACTTTTGTGATTAATATGATGAGATCTATCTCCCATTTCAGTTTGTGCCTCAAAACCTGAATCACCCTGTATATTCTTTAGCGTTATAGGAATATGACTGGAAAACTTCCCAAACATTTCTCGTCAAATGGGAAGCATGGGGAATTCTTCGGTATTTTCTAGACTTATAATAGTGAAATATACATTTTCAGAATGAAAACACGGCAGCAGAATATGTTGAATTATCGCGAAGACATTCAATGTTCCATTTAGTAAAAAATGTGCTTGTTGCGATTGTTTCAATCAGTAGTTTGATTCATCGAACAATCGAAAATCATTCCAAACAAACGCTGAACAGCATCTATATGCATTCGGCGGTACTAACACAAATATTCTGTGCATCTAACTGTGATGAAGTTATCTGTAATAATTGGATATTTAGTGTATTTACAGAATGCTGTACTGATGAAATACGATTCTGATAGAATACGGTTTTGACGAAATACGGTTCTGACGAAATACGGTGATGATGGAATACGGTTCTGATGAAATACAGTGTTGATGAAATATGTTTCTGATAGAATACAGTTTCGATGGAATACGGTTCCGATGGATTACTGAAACTATAAAATACAGTGCCGATGAATTGATGTGACGATGGAATACAGTTCCTATATGATACGATTTTGATGAATTACGATTCCGATGTTTTACTGAAGCGACGAATTACGGTTCTGATAGAATACCCTAACGATAGAATTAGATTATGATAAATTACCGTGATGATGAAATACTGTTCTGATGAATTACTGTTATGATCAAATACGGTTCTTATCGAATACCATTTTGATGGATTACATTTTGACGAATCACGTTTTGTTATAATACATACCTACAAATTACGGAGCTATGTTTTACAAAGCGATGAAAAACGTGCTTACAGAATACAGTAACTATCAATTACGGTACCTACGAATTACCATTCTGATGAAATATATTCTTATAAATTATATTTTGATGCATTATATTCTGACGTTTTGGGTGTTCCCCTGAATTATATATATTTCAAGGGTCTATCATTCTTTATAACCAAGATACAGGGTGATTTATTGATTTCCTCCATCCAAAACTTGAAAGAATCAGAAATAGTTGATGATTTTATGGATCGAAAATGGAGAAGTGCCATTTGGGAACGACGAATTATTTTTTTTCCAATGTTGTGCCACCTCGTTGATTTGACTCAAGTTAATAAGTGAAAAAAATATATGCGCGGAAACATCAAATAATTTCAGTCACACTAATTATTTCCTGCTCTTTCCAAATTTGTGAATGAGATTTTGAAATATTGATATACAGGGTGTTGTTTCGACTCGAAACCTACTCATTAATTTTTTCAAGGCCGTCCCTGAAATACAACTTCTTTTTATTATGTCAATCGTCACCACTGTGGACAAGGAACATACAAACCAAATATCAAAAAATTGTATAAGGTGGTTCAAAAGTTATGATTAATTGAGAAAATGTGTGAAATCAATGAATCACCCTGTATCTCGCTAATGAAGAATGATAGACCCATGGAATATCGATTAATCAGAAGCACCTTGGTGTTCTCCATCTACCCTTTCCCAATGAATCACCCTGTATAATAATTTAATGAGGGAATATCGACATCAATAGGCCTCAGTGGCATCTTCAATCAATAATGGTGATGACATATAGGTCGAGAATGCAAAATGCAATCTGGACATATTTTTCTATAGGTCATGCGAATTATTCCATATTTGTATCGATATTTTCAATATGGATTGAACGGTACTGAGTCTGATTTTTACTGAATTGTACGTCAAATGATCAGGAAGTTATATATACGAAGACATCACAGCACAACCAGGGGGGCAATTCTCGAATGTATTCGACTGACATTTGTATACATTTTGGTAGTGGAACACCGTAGAAAGGTCGGCGACCTTTCACTTTTCTATCGATACTTCCACGGGAAATGTTCTTCGGAAATCTCTGCTATCATCCCGTCACTAGCAATACCAATCAGACGAACTAGACAAGCCCAGTCAGCACATCCTTTCGTTGTCTACCTCGAAAGATGTCGAACAGCACTTTATCAAGACTCCTTCATCCATAGAACGGTTAGGCTCTGGAATTCATTGCCTGTGGAAGTATTCCCATCAACATATAATCTCCAAAAGTTCAAAAAAAATTCCAATACCTACCTCCTGTCCCTATCCTCCCTAGGAACGCAAGATGTTCTTCGAACATTATAGGGATTCCCTTTCGTGCGCTCCAAGCGATAAAAAAAATGCTTTCAATAAAAGTCGATTCTTGAACCATACGTTCCTATTTCTAATGATTTGGATACGTTATTCTACGATCACTTTTCAACGAGTGGGTGGGGACCATTCGATAAGAGGGAAAGTGTACTTTTCATTCAGAATTATGGGTTAGGTAATTACAAATGATCTAAATAGTGAGCAAAGTACATATGTGGCAAATGTTGACGAACTCTTGAATTCAATTTCCATCATGGATGTAGAAGAGGCTGAAATATTAGATGATTAACCGAGACCAGTATTCCATGTTCGCGATGATCCCTTTTTTTATTATTAAATTATGTTGATAATATCATATTATTATTAATCTTACTCAGAAAGAGAGGTTAACATTTTGTGTCATGCATAGAACATAAATCAAGCCGGAAACTCACAGAAATCTCACAGAGAACATATTATTCGGACGTTTTTGCGCTGGTGCCAAATTGGATGTGTGAAGCGAGTACATTTCATAACGTATGCGTTGAAATTTGTTTCGAGAATATGACAAAACCTTTCCGTGCGATATTTTGTATACGCCTGAAAAAGTATACATTTGATTTCGCATACACTCGAGAATTGCCCCCCTGTGCCTTGGCACGCATCAAAATGACATAATCACTGCAACTGTACGCAAACACATACATGTCTAATATATCATAGTAGAGCGATTGGTAGAGTGGATCCAAAAAAGAATCTAATAAGCTATGGTATTTTGGTTTATCAGTATTGGCTGTGAAACTCAAAGTGTAACTTGTAATTGTGGTTGTAATTCAAAAAGCGTCAATTGTAATGCAGATAAGGCAATTGCAATTCAAAAAGCTCAACATGTTATTCAAATTAGTGGAATGTGATTCAGAAAGTGTAACTTGTAATACAGAATAGTCAATTGTTATTCAGACATCATCACTTCAAATTCAGGAAGCATTACTTGTAATTCAGAAACTATCATGGGCTTGAATCAGAGTAGGGAATGGAGACAACAACGAATGGTTAACATCAATATTTTATATTTGTTGACCAACGAGTGTATCTTGAAACACCAGAGCTGCAGCATGGTGAATGTTTGTGTGTTGGGATTGGTCAATATTCTGTTCAAGATACACAAGTCGTTGTTCTTCAACACCTGGACCTTCGAATTCTATATGACACTTTATTTTGGACCAGATCGTTTCATTTGTATTCAACATTGGGATGTAAGGATCGAAACGAAGAAGACTTGCTTCAGTTTCGCCTCGAATGTGTCTAAATCTAGAATGGCAAGGTGCATTATCACACACAAGGACAACATCGAATAATGGATTTCCTTGAGCTTGCCATAGCTGCATGAATCTTAGATCCTGAGCATTGACTATATCAGATGTGAAGAAGCCTCTTCTTTTCTTGAAGTGCTTGTACTGCTGATGATATTGTTTCAATCGAATGAATGTTGGGTCCCCTTGCAGATAGAATCTGTTATATGGCGTATGTGCGTCGGGGTTCATAGTTTCTGAATCACGAGTGATACTTTTTGAATCACAAACGCTTTCTGAATAACATGAAAATAATCTGAATTACATATTACTCTTTCTGAATTTCAATTACCAAATCTGAATTTCAAGTTATACTTTCTTGATTACAATTGACTATTCCGAATTACAACTTATAATTTTGGAATTACATCTGATACTTCACGAATAACAAGTGAAAAAGTTCATAGAATATCATTCCTTCGGCGATGAAGTGAGATTTGAAGCTCACGTCACTGTGATACCGCAATTGTTATAATGACAAAATTAAACACATTGGCACAATTATGATTTGACCCAGAACAATATATTACTCTCCCATCTCTCAAAATGATATAATCTATAGTCGTTCTATATTGAAGGAATATGTACCTTATGAAACTCACTGAAGAGTCCAAATTTTTTTCCTAGTAGAAATAATATGAATTATCATTATTGAATCAGCCACATATTTATGAACCATTTCAGCTGTATAGGCAAAAGCTTCTTGGGGAAGAAAACAAGTTCGGAAGTTTAAAGAATCTTTTTACCTGTACTTCTGTGTATCTACTGAAGAGCAAGTATCTTTTTGATATATGGTGATTGTTATTAACTGATGATATACTATTGATCACACTCAAAACCAAAAATATATTTGTGAACCACATTATCTTTCAAGTGAATTTTACTTGAATTGAATGAATATCAGATCAAGACATCAACTGACAGGAAACGAACTGAATAACAACTGTTATGTTTCCAGTTAAGTCAACAGTTAGTTGAACGGCTACTGGGTGGTCGTATCAAACAAATCATAAATTGGGGCATAAAGCTGAACTATTTCAACTTTGAAATTTGAAATCACCCTGATTTCAGCTTTCACATTTTCTTCATTGATATATGCAATTCACCAGTTGCTCTGTTGTGAGACCTAATACTTCGTGGTTTCTTTTGTCTTGACATCGTAGAACCTAGAGAGTTGAGTTGATCTCACACAATATACATTTTTCCAGATTTTCCGAATTTTGCTTCCTCGTTTATAATAATGAGAATATGAGTGTTATACCACTATACCTGTTTCAAGGACAAATCAGATGATACCTGAAAAACATGGACGTAGAAATCGCAGTAATTCACAGTGTTCCTTATCCCATATAACTACAGAAAACATTTCAAAAATTCTTGGAAAGAGACACAGAATATTGTAGGTTCCCACTTAAAGAATATAATTCCGTGGGTTTCCAGTTGAACTCCAAAACACAAAATATCTCATTCAACATGATCTACAGCGGTTATTTGACAAATGTATTCTAGACAAATCCAGACACTCATGAAAACTGAAGAAACCTATCGAATTATTTTTCAGAATTCCAAGAGTTGAACAAGATGTATATTTTTCAGAATTAATATAATATGTCACTCATTCACAAGAGCTTCACGAAATATGTGAGGTAATCAGAGTATTCATCAGATTATTGGGGATTGTTCTGGTATTTATCAGAACCATTCTAGAACGGTTATGCGGATGTGCATGTGTTATTCATACTGCGAAATTATTTTCAATACCAGGAATCGAAAGTCGTCTACAATAATGTGATAGTGATCAAATTGGAGACGACTTTGTGTTTCTGGTTCCTGTTATCTAACCACTCCACTTTGAGATACGATGAACTTTTACCATGGATCATATTATATTCAATAGTTTCCGGAAAATATTTGTGAAGATGTTCCATTTATATCCTCTAGGAATGCATTCAGCATGTGATCTATGGAACTCAAAGTACCACGTGATCTATCATGACCAATGAGATTCGAAATACGTGAAATGAAATAGGCTGTCGTCTGAGACTATAATATAACCAAAATAAAACATACTCAAACAGACACAAGAGCTTCACAAAATATGTTCGATATTCAAAGTGTTCATCAGATTATTGGAGCTTGTTCTGGTATTCATCATAACCATTCCAGAACGGATATGCGGATGTGCATGTGTTATTCATACTGCGAAAATATTTTCAATAGCAGGGATCGACTGTCGTCTACATAAATGTGATAGTGATCAAATTGGAGACGACTTGTCCAATAGGATTCAAAATACGTGAAATGAAATAGGCTGTCGTCTGAGACTATTATATAACCAAAACAAAACATACACAATTTGTATTGGATTGGAACACCTTGTAACTATAAGTCGTCTTTCAATGTTTGCGATTCTGATTATCATGTCAACTTGTGGAATAATATGTGTATAGCAGAGGTGGCGAGTGCAAGATAGGGGCATCAGTGCCAATGTACCCATAAAGGCGTATGTTAAGGGTGCAATGCACGTAATAAATTTCAGGTAACTATCTTCTTTTCGTCTTCCCACCTTCATTCAGTGCCAATATCAGCTATAGATTCGGAACACCAGGAGTATCAGAATTCATTATTTGATCTCTCCAAGACCATTTCGCTTATCTCTCTATCATCAATTCTATATAAATTTTCTTGCATTATATGATACAAGAATTGGGGAGTAATGATTTCCCTTTGATGTTATATGCGGTTGATTTGAAACTAATGTTCTAATATTTTTTCTGTTATCCCAATTTTTCATTCTGTAAATTGTCAACATTTTCATATCAAATGTCAGGTCATAATTTCCAAATTTGCTCCGCTATGTTGTCTTACTTTTCATGGCTCGCCATGAGAGCAGATGAAACTCCTTTGAGTAGGTTACTTTTTTCTATCGATGTTGAACTTACTTCAACTGAAATTCTCTTGGTTTCTCAGCCGTTCCAAATCCTTTTAGTTCTGACGGGATTGATATGTTATATTTTTGACACACTGATTGATATTTCATTGATAAAGGATGATTCGTTCATAAAAGGTATGTTCTTTCTCAGTTCTCATGTTGTTTTTAGATTGACAACTGTTTGTAAATTTCAGGTACTTCTTTGTTTTGTCGTGTCTGAAGATGGCTGTGTGGCCGAAACTTGTAACTCACACATTCACCTTGGTGATGTTTCATATTGAATTTACTGGTAGACCAACTCAGAGTCCGTTTTTTTTCTCTCAATTATTTTCTTCTCTTTGAATGAAGGGTAACTGGATTACTCACAAGAGATCGACGAAAAATCTCATGTATATATTATATTGTTTTAGGTGTTGAAAAGTTCAAGTTATCTCAAGGGCCTTTCACTATCACATTGTAACATAAATATTTGCAGTTTCGTGTTTCATAGTGTGAATCCTGTTTATGGGTATAGAGAAAGCTTTGTGGATATGCACTATGTAACCTGATGATTTATCTTCTAGCTTCAGGGGTACTTGTTGTAGTTCCATGTTGATATATATTTTTATTTTCGATTTCCATGATAAGGTGACAGTTGGGTTAGTATCGTCCACTTCGTATTCAACCTCCACATTCATCCAATGCCCATGATCACAGTAGTTCATTTATATCGTAGTCTCTTGCCAGTTGATGACTGGTTAGTACGTTTAGTGGCAGTGGCTTGTAATGGCACAGGGATATCCACAAATTTGTATCGATTGTTGAATCGACTGCTGAATCGAGTATTGATATCATGATCAATATTCAATATGTTTCTTTCAAGTTGCGTCCGTGAGTCATGTTATACGAGTGGCCAAACTGACGCTACGCAGAAACTGGTTTTAATCTGGATTTTTTCTCTAGATTGATCGTGAGTGCAGTGATAAACGAAAACTTGTTGTTTGAGCTATCACCGGTTTTTTGTTCTTGCTGGTGAACCTTTTTCTACCAAGAGATTTCATTTTGATGAAAATAATGCAATTTTTGATCACGGCTCTCGTGCGACCAGGTCAGGTGATGGACACCTACATTTCTGTTAGGCATTTCCGATAGAAAGGTGAGGAATATTGAATGTTATTTTGTAGGTAATATTCGATGGGGTATATCCATTACAGATATCACGGCCTCATAGCAGGGAACAGGGGGTATAGAAGTGGATGATATGAATTCCATTTTATTTTGACCACATACCATTTTTCTGAACTAAAATTTTGTCTCTCAAAACTGACAACTTGTTGGATCAGTAGAAACCGCACCTTCCACCGTCAATGGGCAGTTGAAATGTTGAAATATATTCTGGGCTTCATTGTTTGGGCATTACATGGACATTTTCACCGTTGGTTGAGGCACCTGAAGGATCTTCGATGCTTTGAAGCCTGAGTTACCAATGGTGGAGATAGGACCCTGATGATTTAGTCCTAAGGCATCTTTAGGTTCCGACAGCCCAGAATATCTGACAAAAACCTTGCTGCCAACAGAACTAGTTCTTACCAGCCCTACTGGTCTAGATAGCCAGCGATCCTGACTTCTGACAAAATGTCCAAGGGAGTCCAGACTCCCAGTGTGTGGGTAGATGATTCATCATCCATAAGAATGTTTGCCGCTTTGGAACCTGAACTTCCAGTACCCAATCGTATAGTGAGACATCCTGGTCCAGCTTGGATTGGGGGAGGAGCTTGTCCTGGTGGCAGCCTATATGGACCCGTCGGCCAGAGATCCAGCGCAACATCCAGTTGCCCTTAGAGAAATCAAGGGCCCAGGGCTCTAGGTGGTTGTGTCTCCTGTCAACTGTATGGAGATACAGTTTCCCCAGCACATTCAACTCCCAACTTCGACTGAGGAAACATTGTCTTCGTTCCGTTCAAGTAGTGAGATCTGGTGAATGGCGAATTGAATCGCAAGGTACAAGATCCCGAACTTGCAGTTAAGGTCAGAAGTTTCCATATAATTTTTCCTGTCTGAAGACATCCATATTATCCTAATTTTTCTGTCTGAGGACATTTCACTAATCATCTTCCACTGTCTCACGTCATGAGAAATTCAAGTATACATGTGAACATTATTTTTCAGTCTGATATCGAAATTACCTTCATTATGACTCTGTGAACCGGAAGTATAGGCCTATATGAAGAGAAATCCACACTTGTACTGAGATATATGATCATAGTATAACATTATTCACCTCAAATCCAAATACCTTTTGTTGGCACTTTGAGGTGAATAAATTTGTTAACAGTTACTTCGGTTCATATTGATATCTTCGACATTTTTCCTAGTAATTCGCTTCGGAACCTGAGTGGTGCTCGACAATAAGATAACCCCACTAGTGCATGGAAAAAAACTCAAGACCTACTCTTAAACAAACGAGCTGGCGCGCCGGTAACAAATAAAAATATATTCCTTCTTCCAGAACATCAAAAACTCATTCGACCTCGGAAAAAATATTTCGACTGCGACGCATTCATGCCTGGTCCTATCATTTCTTCTGGTACCCATTGATGATGATTAAACTCGCTGCCCCTGACTGGAGCAGAAACGAGAGAATTTTCGGTGTCATCTCGTGCATGCTGACGATTGAATATAATGATGAAGATCGCAAACGAATAATCAACAATAATCATTGAAGCAAACATAACACTCATCATCTTGCTGGAATAAAATCAGTATATAGAAGATATGCATTGAAAGAGATAACACGCCTGCCACCTTACGGTATATATTTCATAGATAGCCACAAGATATTCAAAAGCACACCTGAACCTATTTTTTGGTTCTCAAACATTTTCATACAGAATTGTGATCTTTCGAAAAATATTCGTACATTTTTTTCTTCTTGCTTGGGCATTCAGGTGGGGATTCATGACGTAAATTCATATGTAATTCCACGAGTGATACTATCTTGCCGAAAATATTTGGCGATTATCATGAGAGCTCGTTGCCTAATAATTTCGCCAAATGACATTGTTTATCAAAACTGTCGAGCCGTAGGCGAGAAGTTTTGGAAGAACAATTCATAAAATTTTTTTTCTACTCCTTACTCGGTAAGTACTTCATTTTGATACTGATTTGAGGGAGGAAAACACGTTCTACCTCCCTAGGGAGGTAAGTAAATATTTACCTCCCTAGGGAAGCAAGTTAAATAAACTTCATAATTTAACCTAAAAATTGAAGTCCTTGTAACACCGATTGTACCGTTCCTTCGATTTCTGAGGTAATAGAGCAGCACAAGCTGCATTCGCAACTGCATCGATATCCATTATTTCGATTTTTTTAATAAAATGACACTGACAGAACATTTGTTTGATTATAAACAATATGAATTCCATAGCGATCAACGTGTAACACTAGGAAACCTGTCATACATACAGGGTTTTTCAGTTAGATTAGTCAAATTATATAAGTAATTGAAAAACATTTTTTTTAATCTAAGGGAACTGGAGTAGAAAAAATATAATACAAAACTCGGGAGGCAGTGTTCTTGACCAGTCTCGGACTATTTTGCAAGCCCTCGCTATCGCTCGGGCGCAAACAATGTCCTCGACTGGTAAGTATCACTTGCCTCCCTTGTAGTGTAAATAACTATTTTCTACTCCTTACTCGGTAAGTACTTCATTTTGATACTGATTTGAGGGAGGAAAACACGTTCTACCTCCCTAGGGAGGTAAGTAAATATTTACCTCCCTAGGAAAGCAAGTTAAATAAACTTCATAATTTAACCTAAAAATTGAAGTCCTTGTAACACCGATTGTACCGTTCCTTCGATTTCTGAGGTAATAGAGCAGCACAAGCTGCATTCGCAACTGCATCGATATCCATTATTCCGATTTTTTTAATAAAATGACACTGACAGAACATTTGTTTGATTATAAACAATATGAATTCCATAGCGATCAACGTGTAACACTAGGAAACCTGTCATACATACAGGGTTTTTCAGTTAGATTAGTCAAATTATATAAGTAATTGAAAAACATTTTTTTTAATCTAAGGGAACTGGAGTAGAAAAAATATAATACAAAACTCGGGAGGCAGTGTTCTTGACCAGTCTCGGACTATTTTGCAAGCCCTCGCTATCGCTCGGGCGCAAACAATGTCCTCGACTGGTAAGTATCACTTGCCTCCCTTGTAGTGTAAATAACTATTGTTAGCACTATATGTCACAACTTCTATTATCATTATGAATTACAACCAGAAAGATCGTGAGATTAATTACAGCAATTTTGAGGACATGAGAATTTCGAAAATAAAAAAGGAGTGGAATTTGCTTCTCAGAATGTTAGGAGTAGGTGTTAAAGGTGTCCTGGGACTAGAGGAGGAAAATATAATACAACAAATAGCTCAAAAGTTACTCTACTTGATATTTGAATTGACGTGTTGCGTGAAATTCCCATAGTGTCATCAGTTGAAGAAATATTGAATGTTGCTGTTTTCAAACAATCACCCTGTATATATGGGTGTAGTTAAAAGTGTCAATTAGCCCTGAAAGCTTATCCAACTTCGATGTATTCATGTTGGAGCACCGATATGTACTATATAGTATAGTTGAAATAATTCACTTCATTTGCTTCTCCCGACTGGCAGCGGAGTATTAGGAGTTTAAACATATCTTGAAGATTCAATGAATATTTCGTCATAAATTATATTATTATGAATGAGTCTTTGTGAAGTCACTTGAAACATCTTGATCAAAAGATATCCGCTACGCCCGCCGGTTCCTTGAAAATATCAAACGGGCATCGTGCCGTCGGCGATTTTTTTTGAATTTGTCCCAAGTGACTGCGAAAACTACTAAATAAACTTGTTTTGTTCTACGTAGCCGCTATTAAATTTCACCTTCAAATTCAGACCGATCTCGTTGTTTTCCACAATCTCAAAGAAAATAAAAAAATTGTTGCAATTTTAAATATACCTACAAAATATATCGAAAGGCTATTCATTTGAGTTTTATTCTTCTGAAAATACCAATGCCGCATTTTTTGCATTTTTCAAAAAGGTTTAGTGTTTGCGTTTGCACTAGGTTTCGGAATTTAGCACCAGCTTGAAACCGTTTTCCTCTTGAAAAATAGCAACACAGACAAGATAGATGGAATCAGAGGAACATGCAATTATTGCATATGCCCTGTTGTTTCGGCATGTAATTGCAAAGTACCACAGGGGTCTGTTTGGGGTCCTATTTGTTTTCACTTCACATCAACGTATTCGTTAGAGAAATAATAATTGTCATTATTGCAAGTTGTAAACTCTGATTTATTCACAACTGATATACCTCAAGTATTATACTTATGATTTATTTTTGCATTACAACGCCATATATTATATTGATCCAGCAGGAAACAATTACCCAGGAATATAGAGTCATTATTTGCTTGTGTACTTCAGATATCTCGCTGAAAAAACTGAGCAAAACGATATTGAGAGGAATACAAATCATATTGAAGAATATTCCATGACATGTCACCACGTACAAATGAAGTACTGATATTTATATCGTATTTTCCGTGGAGATATGATATGTACCCGCTCAAAAATTCCATGAACGTACTCAACTTTTGTTTTATATCTTCGATAATTATCGACCTTCGTCATATGATCATTATGATGCTAGCTCTATACCAGATTCACGGAATATCTAATGAGTATAAATGAAAATCCATCGTTGGGTTTCTCGTAGTGTAGTTTGTGTGATTGAAGACTGTTGTGGTGTTCATTAATGATTCGCATTGGATCGGCAAGCCAAGGTGAGTTTGTCTGATTGAAGTAGTGGATCTATTAGGTATATTTGTTTTCTTTCGCTTCATATATGAGATTGAAACGAAGAGACAAAGGAGGTTATCAGCGAGGATATCAGTGTTCAAAATTTTGAACAATTCATCAACTGAATATCAAGTACCTATATGAATTTTTGAAAACGCTCAACTGATTTATGTCATTTGAGGATTCTCAGACTAACTAGTTTGTATATCGAGACAATGAATTATATTTTGTTTCTCAAAAGTTCTCATGGATAAAATCATTGACTTCCTGAATTTATACACATGATATTGCTCGTATGATTATTTTTTTTTGAATGATGTGCTCAATTTCGGAATTTTCATCTAGTCTACTGTTTGTTTTTCACTATATGTCCTAAGAAAAAAAATGAACATTGTAATCTTGACATTATTGAGTGACTCAAGAAACAAAGTGGACGATTTTTACAGTTATTTCAACCTTGACTGTGTCTTGGGTTTAATGGTCTTACGATTGCCAACGATGAACATCAACACATCTAAAGAAGCACCAATACTTATAATGTGGCAAGTGAAACTTGTTTCCTGAGCTCTCGCTCGGAATAAACAACGATCAAGGGTTTGAATAAGTTCAGTTGAACTTCTAGTTACTATTGTATATTTCTTGTACTCTCAAGATGAAATAAGGAGAGCGAGAGGGAGAGCTATCAATGATACAATTTGATTCAACAGTATCAGTTCCATTTGAAAATGATTAACTCAACAATGATTCACCTCAGCCCCAAGGGATTAAATGGGTAACTAGGTTCAAAGGGACTGATATCCAAACTTCAGGGCAAAAATAAAATTGTATCAATTTTACTCAGCCTTGAAATCAAAGTTGAGCTGGAATTCGAGTTTTGAATAATTGATTCATGAACTCCCAGAGTATTGAATGTTTTTTCCCAAATAAATGATTCCTCGATGATTTGTTGAACTCATCGTTTTTTGCCTTGAAAACAGACGTGATATGAGGATAACATGTTTCATGAAATGCATTTTGAATTCCATTAGACACAGATTTGATTTGTATCTCGATTGTTATTTTTGTCATTTAGCTATACATAATATACAGTGCATTCGTAGAGTATAGAGTAAATTCATTTTCTAGTCGAACTATATTCTTCATTTGAGAGGAATCTCCTGGAACATGTTGATGTTCAATCTCAATTTGCCACATTTGAATTGAATATTCAAGGTGATCCTTGTTTGAGTAATGACGACTGCGACAAATTTTTTGTAATCTGCTGTCTCTCGTTACAGCATATTCCATAATATTAATATTGATCTGAATAAGATTACAACATTTCACTTAGTTCACTCTTCCACCTACTTATCTATCTAAACTGAAATCACTTGTAAGCTTCGCAATAGTAGACAGTACGACATATTAGGGGAGGCTAAGGAATGCTGGCCCCCTGAGCATTTTTTTCTATATGTAGATTATTTTATGGAAATTGAGCACAAAAACAAGGGAACAAATTGACCTGATACCCTTGTTGATGGAAATTTGTTGGATATTGAAAAAACAAGAAAAAATTCTCAGAATGAATAGAAAAAATGGATGGCTATCGTTACCCCAGATAGCTGTGGTGATTCTGGTAGATGATCAAACTGGCCCAAAAAGTGAAAATGAGTAATTCACATGTAATAATCACGAGGCTTCTCTTTGCAGTATCAGCAGTCAGCACACGATTCATGTGCCCAATTGTCACAGAGACCGCATTTCAACCAAATATCTGAATTTTGCTCATATTCGCCACACACTAAACATATTATATATTTTGAGCCTGTCACATCTTTGTCGATCTGTTATCAGTCCAAGATGGTTTTTCTGTGAGCATATGATGAATTCTTGGCATCTGGAAGCATTTATATCGCTCAACATAATGTTTCATTCATATTCATATATAGAGCTACTAATTGTTTATAAAGAGTTTCAGCATGAAGTATATAACAGATTTTGGAGTTTGTTTCTCGAAATGTTCGTCTTCATCAATAATATCTCACGCATTGAGATATCGACATGTTACAATCGACGACTGTGGAGCAGATGAAATGAATTAGTTGAAACATCTCTACTTGTATTCAGTTCATTTCTTTTCAACTAGTTGAAAAATTCATTTGTAGATGGAAAAACCAATTCTTTTGGCTCAACTAACAAAAGATAGGCAAGCTACTGGGTGGCTGCTATTACCCCAGTAGCCACCATTCCCCCGATCACCCCTCAATATATTATCTGCCAGAAAGTGACGAAACGAGTGGTACCAGTACAAAGCACTCGCTATACGCTATGAAAATGTATACAGGTCGTTCATCGAGTCGTTACATATAGGACATTGGGATAACAACATCGCAATAAACTATCATCGTCTTCACTATAAGTTTCCGTCTCCTCTATAAGAGATTATACACGTCTCCGCCACCTTCAGTGATACAGTCGCTTATCTCCAATGTTGAAAAATGCTATCCAATTTCAATCATCCTTTATGTAAAAATTCGATGAACTACCTGCATACACCATGTCCCAGCAAAAATGTCTTTCCACTTTGAAAACTCAACCTTGCGCACGGCTGACTCGGAATTTGGTGATAATAACTCGACATATATTGCTTTACCGAATCTATACAGGGTCACACCAACGTACTCTTGAACTATCTCATTTGAATAGGACCACACCCAGTATATTATTTCATATTTGAGTAGAGCTAATTATTACAAATTGAACAATATTGTGTTTGATGGGATTTTTCCAAGCGAGTACGAGAATATTAATGACTTGGTAGATATCCATCAGTGATGAAGTAATTACAATAAATTCGCAGTGACGTTTTCATATTTGCACATATTCATTGGTTGGAGTTTTAATTATACACTTTTTTTCGATAATGGTTGTGTAATAATAATAAAATATGAATACTTAATTAGTCATTCTTTATTATTTTTTCAATTCTCCATATTTTTGTGGTCGTCTGAAAAAATTCCATCAATGCCGTTTTTTTTTTAAATTTGTTATGATGAGCTCTACTCAAATATAAATCAATATACCGGATGTCTCAATTCGAATAAGAAAAAGTGCAAATTGGTGTAATAGCATATTACGCGAGTAAATATACTGGTTAGCCAAAATTCCAAGTCATTCGATGGAGCGGTTGAATTTTCACATGGGGAGACATTTTAGTTGGGACACGATGGTGATGTTCACGAGTTGAAAATATCAAAATAAAAAACGATTTAATAGCGTATACACATAGTTAACCCTTGATTACTCGCGCTAATTGATTCGAACTTTCTCCCGCGCGGTGTACTTTGTACACCACCATGAATTTGACTTGTTTTTAGGTGAAACAAAAACGTGTGCTTTCCTAACCCCGCACAAGTTTCGACTTATGGGGCGTTGGATCCGGTGCTGGGTCCAACGAGGAAATGCAAATAAAAAAAAGTGTCTCTGTCTTTAGTGCGTCCACATAATACACAACAAACGTGTTTGTAGAAAACTGGAACGATTAGGATTGCGGGGCTTTATAAAGGATTGGATAATTTCCTATGTAACAGAACGGCAATTATACGTGAAAATTGGGAATGATCTCTCCAGCCAATAGAATGTATGTATTGGAACTCCTCAAGGGAGTATCTTAGGACCACTATTATTCCTGTTGTACATAAATGACCTACCAAACTTCATTGAAGGGGGGAAGGTATTTATGTATGCAGATGACACAACAATAGTGGTGACGGGCTCCTCGTTGAGTACTCTAAATATGAAAGTCACCTCAGTAGTGAACCAATTTTATGAATGGTGTACAAGAAACCATCTTGTGGTGAACCTTCAAAAAACAATGTTCATTCAATTCAGCAGCGCACGCAGTAATAAACCAAACCTAGTCAATCTAAACATAAATAACAATCAACATGAAATATCAAGCTCTACAAAATTCTTAGGTATACATCTCGATAATAACATAACGTGGATCGAACAAATAGATAATACATGCAACAAACTTAAAAAAAACTGCTTTGCCTTCCTTACACTCAAAAAATCTCTTTATGAATCGTCTCTCCTGAAAGTATATTACTCCGTAGTCTACTCGACCTTATCATTCAACATAATCAGCTGGGGCCTTGCAACCGAATGGTCTAGAGTCTTCGTTCTCCAAAAACGCATAATAAGAACAATATATAATATGAAACCTTTCGACTCGTGCCGAGAAGTATTTAAACAAAAGCGTATATTAACATTTCCTTGCATATACATCTCAAATATTTTACTATATATACATAAAAATAGAGATTCCTATGCTAAAAATGGTGATAGACATAGGTATGAAACAAGAAACAAAGATAACCTTCGCATCGAAAAATTTAACCATGCATATTTTACAAAATCACCACAACACAGTGGACTCACATTATACAATTACATACCAAATGATGTAAAAGAATTATCATTCCCTCTCTTCAAGAAGAAAATTAAAAAAATACTGACAATGAATGCTTTCTACAGCCTTGAAGAATTTGTGAACTATTGCTATAATACCTAATTCATTTTTTACTTGTATGTATGTATGCCCCTTGTATTTTATAAATTTTTTAATTTTTACTGTCACTGTTTTGTATAGCGTTGATAATGTGCTACTAAGTGTAAAATGACTTACCATATCCAAGCACTGCTTGGCTACAAATGGTCAATAAAGAATCTGAATCTGAATCTGTATACAATATTGAATACTTAGATAATGTACCCTTTTTCCCACGCAGTGTATTGTATTCTAGGCACCAACGGGCACCAACGTGACAACTTGTCAAAATTTACGTACAATAACACACACACAAAACTGATCTATCACATCCCAGACATGTTAGATATAGGTTAGGTGGGAGTCTAGAGCCACAAAAAAACTTCTACGTTTGATGGTAGAAAGGAATTTGGCGCTGGGGTAGAAAATACACCAGCGCGAGTAATTAAGGAT